CATAAACCAATTGGAAAGAGAGTGATGGGTGGAATTAGCTGGACAAGTAAGCCAATTATTTTAATGATCCTACGCTAGGCACAATTTAGGATGCATTCTCAAAGATATACATGGGAATTAAATTTATATTCAAACTAGTGCTATTCTAATACCACTTATACTATATAGCCTTGATTGAAGAACTAAATTAATATATTTGAAATAATGGTTATACATAATTTTTGCCTTGAACATGTATGGCATTTGTTTGTTTGTTTATTTATTAAATTATTACATTGGAGTAGGCAAACACTTAACCATCTAAATGTTCTATGCTGGTACAATTATGAAACATGTTTATCACGGTTATGAAAACTAATGGCAAAAAAACATTAGCTTAGGTCAAATATGCACATTATGTCAAGATTCATATTGGGAAGAAAACAATTGGTGTTACCTGATGGCTTCAGTCATTCACAGACACTCAGACTCTCCCGAGGCAGTGGTGAAATGCTACTGGTTCGCACCGGTTCGGGTGAACCAGTAGTGATAAAAACTACTGGTTCGGGTGGACTGGTAGTAAAAAAAAGCTACCGGTTCCTGTGAACCGGTATTTCTGATGATCAGATATGCTGCATGATTTAAAATCACTAGAAAGCAGGAAATCCTACTTTCTAGTGAATCTAAATTGCACGGCAAAGCTGTTCCGCCCACTCACTGTTCTACTTAACTTCCCAAGCCTCCTTTTTCCATGCAAAGCACGCGTTTGGTATGTACTGCGCATGCATGCATGCAGTGTGTGTTTGGTGTGCACTGCGCATGTGCACACAGCGTGCATTTGGTGTGCACCACGCATGCACACACACGCAGCATGAGTTTGGTATGCACTGCACATGTGCACGCGCAGTGCACGCTTGGCGCGCACCGCACATGCAAGGCCAGCAAACCGGTGGCAAACCAGTTCAGATTTCATCACTGCCCCAAGGTACATCCAGAGAAAGAGAGATATTTCTTTTGTCACAGAGACACAGAGAAATGTACCAACCTTTCCTCTCTTCTGGGAATAGAAAAATTGAGGGGACTATAACTCAAACGATTAAGAAGACAGATGGATTGCTTGGATGCAGTGTCATACAAATTTCAGGGGAGATTCAAGAGAGGAGAGTTTCCTTGTAATCAGGATATAGCACTGGCAATGCCAATTTAGATTGAAAGAAAAGATTCAGAGAACTAGAGGCAAAAGTCTACAGAACTCAGTCCAGAGTTCTAGTGACTTACAAGAGGCAGAGCTAGAAGTAGAGAAACAGAGAGTAACAGAATCATAGAAACAAGGATTGCTCATGTTAGCCAAGGGATTAAACACTAGAGAATTGTACTACTAGAGTGGTTTGTTAAAGTAAGAATCCAATTGCACAATAAGAATACCATGAATGAAGCTCTGATGTTGGAAAGTATTTTTCTAACAGAAAACAAGCATTGTTCCTAATTAGCTCCAGCTATGAGCACACTCGGTTAGGGGCGTAACCATTCTTGTTTCCTGAGTAGCAGTGTAACTGTCTTTGCTCTGACTTTAAAACTGATGTAATTTTTAAAGTAAAAAATGGCCTACTAGGATCTGGCCTCTCATTATCTTAGAATGTCCAACTTGTTCTTATTCCTTGTCTTCCCCGTCTGCTCCAGATGATGGGGAGTTTGCAGCTCATCAGATCAGGCTCTGCAACCTTTAATTAAAGGAATGAAAATAGGCCCTAACCATCATATTATGTGGGGAGTGCTTTGTGGTTATAATGTGATCACAGCAGAAGGAGATACCTTGCCTTAGTTTTATATGTTCAAGCAATATATTCTTTTCTGTCAACTTGTCCATATGCATTTTTGTTTGTTTGGTTTTTTTTTATATATATCATGGACTTTTTAATATTTATGACTGCATAATAAATCATCAAGCATCTTTCATTGCAAGAGGTAAATACCCAACATAAAACAAATCCTATATAAATTATTGAGTGAATGTTGTGAATTTAAAGTTTTTTATATATATATATATAATACAAACATCTAATGCACAAAATACAAACTTTGGTGAATTCTTTAGAAGCCTTTCAATTAATTTTGACCCACAAATGGAAATTTGTTTTCAAAATAGCATAAATTTAGGTTATTTTAAGATTATTTGGATTTTTATGTGACAAGATGAAAGAAAGCAATGTTTGTTTTCCTAATATCCTATAAACATTCTACACTACTTTTTACTTTCATTGTGTTCTCTTCTTCATTCCCAAAAATTGTTCTGAAAAATTGTTATATATTCTCAAGTAAAATTAGAAAAAAAATAATATTCATTATATTATATTCATTATATTCATTCATTTATTCATAATAAAACAGGCCTGGTAGCTCAGCAGACTAAAAGCATTGTGATTAACACCAGCTGTCTGCAATTACTATAAGTTCGAATCTCACCAGGCTCAAGGTTGACTCAGCCTTCCATCCTTTCTAAGGTAGGTTAAATGAGGACCCAGTTTGTGGGGGCAATAAGCTGACTTTGTATAAATATACAAAAGTATGAAGGCTATTGCTTAATGCATTGTAAGCCGCCCTGAGTCTCCGGAGAAGGGCGGCATATAAATCTAAATAAATAAATAAATAAATAAATAAATAAATAAATAAATAAATAAATAAATAAATAAATAAATAAATAAATAAATAAAATTTGTTACATTAGAAATGAACAAAGTTCTTTGTGCTGTGGTTCAGACTCTCTCAGCTCATGAAAGTTGCCAGGGAGGTTACTGCAATAATATTTATGGTGTGGGGTCAACTTCTTTAAGAAATGGACTGGTACCTCCTGCTCTGAAATAAATGATAGAATGCTCCTCCTCAAAAGGCTGTCTCTGGATCCAGCAACTACAGTATCTCCTGTCTCCAATATTCCCCTTGTGGTGAAGATTGTTTAAAAAGTGGTCTTCATTTGATGAGAACTCTGGAGGAAGGAGATTATCTAGACCAGAGGTGTCAAACTCTGATCACCATGGCGTTGTCACGTGACGTATCGTGACTTTTTCCCCCTTTGCTAAACCAGGCATGGCCAACACATGGGCTGCAAGTTTGACAGCCCTGATCTAGACTCATTTCAATTGGGTTTCAGGTTGATATTTAGTATGGAGACTTGTGGTGGAGCTGCAATGGAAGGGGTTTTTTTCTCCCAGGACTCACAGGTAGTAGCTGGAGTCAGGGAGGCCTTTGAAAGTTTCATTTGTATGTATGTGCCCTTTCCCAGATTGAAAAGATCTTCAGACTGTTATTCATGCATTAATGATCACAGAGCTCTACTATTGCAATAACCTTTATAGAAAGACACTCCACTTCAATTGATCCCTAATGTAGTGGTGTGAGCACCATTGGGCATGCCTTAATATGTGACACATAAACTGCAAGCTGCACTGATTGTCAGTATTCTTTCTGATTTATTGAAGATGTGGTTATGACTTGTAAGAGTCACTTTGGATAATCAGGTGGGCATATATATTAAATAATGAAATCCACACATCAGAAGGACTGCATATCTCTGTGGAATGATCCCAGGGGGATTAGTCTGATAGAGTTGGTGCATTCCAGATCCCTTCACTTAAACAATATCATCTATCAGCTCCAAGGAGCCATGCTTTCTTTGTCACAGTGCCAACCCTTATGGCATTGCAGAAAACATTAAAGACCTGCTGTTCTTTTAAGTCTTGTTTTAGGATAGTTGGAGCTCCTGTCAGACTGAATATCTTGATGTGCTCATTCAGACTCACAATCATGTCTTTTTTTTAAAAAAAAAAATTTTTTTTAAAATAATTATTGCATTGCATTTTCTATTGTTTGACTTTATTACATGCTGCTAAAATGAATTAATTTACAAATAAATAAATTGTAGCTATAGAAGCTAGTTAATTTCTTACAATGGTGATCCAATTTGAAAAAGATAAAAGAAAGTACTTTTGCCAAAGCTGCTGATGGAAATAGAGTACAGTTGTCACAATGTAATGTGAGACAAGTCTATTCACAGAAGTTGACACATTGGCAAAACATTATTGGGCTTATTCCAAGTGTCTGTTTTAATTAGCCCTTAGTATTAACTTTCTTCAAGATTCTGTGAAATAAAAATGCATAGTTTCTATAAACATAGAGACTTGTCACCTCCATTATTTAAAGATTAGGTATTTTACTGAATCCATATACAGTAAACTATTTAAAGTACTATTTTCTGAAAATATTTTTATTAAATTAAAATTTTAGTAAAAAGGTAGAATCAAAAAACTAACACACAATTTTCAGAAATTCTGTAAGTTGATTGAAAATAATGTTCCTCTCTTTAATTTATTGAACCAGAAACAGAAGATTTTTGCAAACAGGAAATTTCAATAAAATTCTTTTCTCAAAAAATGATTTCTGTTCCTTATTATAAGTTTATATCTTTTTTATTGAAGACAATGACAGTTTTCTTAATGCTAATTTTTTTTGTTCATTTATAGTGTTGAATTCAGGAGACCATGTCAAAAATTACTCCATGGAGACTAGGAAATTGGATTTTGTTTTAAAGAAACGAAACTATCTTGCTCCATCATTAAGGTAATAACATTTTGACTATATAATTTCTTAAAGTAATTGAACAGATGATATTTCAGCAGTAATTTATATCTCCTTTATGGCAGAATGTGATTATCATTATTACTATATAAAATAGCTAATTGTAATACAACTCATCTGTTCAATGCCTATGGAGATTCTCAGTCATCCAGGTCATGGTTGTCCCAAAGATGCTTTTTTTTTTCAAAAGGCAACTGGACTTTGTTTTTTCTTGAAGATGTTTCACTTCTCATCCCAGAAGCTGCTTCTTGGATGAGAAGTGAAACGTCTTTAAGAAAAAAACAAAGTCCAGTTGCTTTTTTGGGGAAAAAAAGCACCTTTGGGACAACTCATCAGTTCCTAAATTAAAGTTGTTGACTTTGACCTATAATGATGTTTGAGGGCCGTACCTTCATTTTTCAGATGTTGGGAATTATCTGTTTATGGAAGTAAAGCCAGATTTCAATACACTTCTCAATTTCTAGGAATTCTAGAATACCTGCAGTGAGATAGAGGAAAGAAAAAGAGGTGGAAGTGGGGGTAATTATAACTCAATAGCAGAGTACATTCTAAAAGTCATGTGTTCAATTTGTGGGATCTATACAAATAAAAGGATTGGACTGTAAGTGTCCTGATGCTATAGATATAACCTGACAAGTCTGCTAATCCAAAATTCTAGTGTAGATAAATAGTATGGTTTATACATTTAGTCTTGATTTCATCATTCATTTGTTCATTCATTCATTCATTCAGCATTTGTACATTTATTTGTTGTATCACATAAAATTAAACTATTAAATTCATTAGATATTTAATTTCTTATCTAAATTTAATTTAATTTGTATCAATAGCCTTTAGAAATTACACTTGGGCAATAGAATGAACAATGCCAAACTATTACATATTTCTGCAGACATCCAGATTTCTGCAGACATCCAGATACCTTTAAGAAATAATCCCAAATTATAAAAAGGTAAATGAGTCCTTGCAGGTTTTACCCCACTAATCAGAGCCGACTGTTCAGTACTGTCCAAATACATTTCAGCAGTCATGTGGCCTGTGTGACATCACACCACAGCACAAAGCACACGGTGAAACATAGAATGCTGTTATCTTCTCATCAAAGCGTTACCTGTTCATTTACTTGCATTTACAGGCTTTTGAACTAGGTTGGCTGGAGTTGAAGCAAGTGATGGGAGCTCATTCTATCTTTCAGTGATAGGGCTTGAACTGCTGGAGTATAAACATTCTTCGGCTTCTTTTAAGCAACTGAGCCAGCATACTTTCTTATTCCAAACTATAATATTCTTAAATAACATTACTTTCTTAATATTATACATGTGAAATGTATGTTGAGGAAAAATACTTGTTAAAATAGAAAAGGCAAACCAGACCTTTGTTGCAGTCTCAAACTTATTCTAAAAGTCACAGCTTTGTTACTGCAATGAGAAAATGCTAAATGAAGTAAGCACTTTACTGAAAGACTTACTTTTCAAAGTAGGTTTTAATATTTAATATGCTTAATATTGCAAGTTCTGAAGTAGGGTTCTTTTTTTAAAAAAAAATCTGAATAGATAGCAACAGAAAACATTAAAATGGTAGAAAACCATTCCATTAACTCTCTTTCAGTTTCTCTGGATTGGATTTCAAAGGTTTCATTTTCAGCAGTCTTGCTTGAATTAAACAGGCCACTCATGATGCATCTGGAATGGTATCTAGCCAAATATCATAGAAAAATTGCATTTCAAATGTCTCCTGAAAGATATTAAAAATCCCTTTGAAGACTGTTCTTCACAACTGAGACCTTTCTCCTTCCATGAACAAAAATTTATTCTACATCCAGTTCTTTTTCAGCTGCATATAATGAGGTGAAAAGGAAAGATAAATAATCCTGATTTCCTTTCCTCACAAAAATAAAGTACCATGTTCTCTTATATCCATAGATCACTGTCTCATTTAAAGTTAGGTCCTAACAGAGTTAACTCTGGTGATATTCAAAATCATGAACTGTTTATTTTGCATAGACAACCTTCCCAAGCCTAGTGTATTCTAGATGTTATTCACTCATTTAATCTTTAATCACTATTACTATTCTGACAATACTTTATAGGAACTGTATTCTAACAGTTATAGAGGTCCCCAGACTTGAAAAAGGATATAAAAAAATTCCTACAGAAAAATTATATTCAATATTGGAAACTTCCTATTATTCTTACCTTTACTAAAGCATAACTCTTGATCATCGGTTAAGAGGAATATATGGAGTTGTTTCTTCATATCAACTTCATTATGAGGCAGCCAATTTTCCATTCATTTGCTTCATTGTTCACTGGTTGCTCTTAGACTAATTATTTTGCCATTTCTAGTGGGGTTTGGTGGTTTGTTTTTTTTTTTTTGGGGGGGGTTTTTTGGCACATTCCAATCTGTTTCTCCAGAATGATAATAACAGGGAGGTGCAGTCATCAATCATTCACTACTTAGAGATGATCAGTCATCAATCAATTACCGATAGGTGTCAAAAAGGTATGTGGTGACTGTTTGTATCTGTATACTTCAAATGGATATAACTTATTGAGAAAATAAGTCCTTTAAGGAAATGAAAGAATGCCTAGTTTACATTTTTTTAACAATACATAAATTTTGTAAAGAAGATATAACTTGAAATCAGTGTCACTAAAAAATGGACGCAGCTATTATAATATTTGCAGTAAGGTTGCCTCACTCACATTAACTTAGTTACCTGTTAGTTTAATTGGGATCTCATTTTCTGTTCCATTTAGGTATCTTGTTTTGGAAATCAATAAAACTCTAATCTTAATTTACTCTACATGAAATGCCATCTCTAATTTTGACCTGAGATTGTAATCTTCTTTCAGTGAAATGAGTCTAGCAGTTAAGGTGCTGGCCTATAAACCAGGAGATTATGATTTTCTAAGCCTTCATTAGGTAGGAAAGCCAGCTGGGTGTCATTGAGCCTACCAACTTTTCCCATTCACAAGTCATGTACAAGTGACACGTTATGGAATGCTATTAAACCAAATAATATTACCCCATACCGATTATGAGATGATTAATGGATATGGTGATACAGCAATTTAGATCTGATTCCAAAAAAAATGTATTTCGGAGTGTGAATATTGTACCTGTGTAGCATCCTTTAGAGTAATTATGTATTTTTCTGGCTTCCTGTTATCTTCTGTTTTAAATCCATAGTAAGGGACTCAACTGCTTTAAAAAGTTCTCCCTGTACTTCCCTTTTTTGTCGGGGAGTGAATTGAACCTGAAGATCTATTGGAGACCTATTGCTGACTTTCCATTATTGATAGCAACAGGAAACCCAAAATCTTCAAAAGATCTATGGACAGTCGCAAGAGAAGAAATAGGTGAAGGAGTCATGGGATATATTATTTTCAACATGATATTCTGTGGGGTTCTTAGAACTGAAATATGATCCAGGGACATTTGGATAAACTAATAAACTACCCATTCCTGAACTTACTAAACTTCTTCAAGAGTTTTATTAAAAGTATGCAAACATGTATATGATGAAATCCTATTATTTGTTTGTCCACAGCATTCTGTAGCCAAGTCAGAGTACTCCCTCCCATTTTTATCTGTAACATCTCTAAGATAAGCTTACAAACAGTGACTTGTCCAAAGTCACACAGCAAACTTCAAGTGCCAGTCCAATGCCTTTAATCTCTAAACTGTACTGGCTCTCATTACTATTAGACCACTGGATACTATTCCCTGCTCTGTTCAGAGATTTAGAGGAGATTCAAGGCATCACCTACAGCAGATAACTTTCCAATCTCTGCTTGAACACATGCAATTAAAGTTATCTCACCCTTGGGCTTAGCATCTCCAGATAACTCATTCAAGGGGTCGACTTACTGTCCCAGATCTTTCTTGCTCATTATTGTATTGCTGGTAGGTTGGTATTTGTTCTGATTGATGTTCATGATGATTACAAGCCGTTGCTCCCAAAACCTAGAGAGAGGGGGATAATATATTTCAAGTTGGTTCTGAGTATATAAACTCTCTGGTCTTAGTATTCTCCCTGTCCTTAGACATTTGCAAAAGGCAGCTACTGGCAGGGGAAATACTTTAAACAGATTGCCTTGGCTTCACCCTTTCACACTCAGAATCATTGGAGATAGTTTATATGACTTTATGGTAGTAAGCTCCATCTGAATTTGGCTCATTACCTTATTTTCCTTCATAGGAATTTAACATGGCTTTATGAAATAGGAAAATAGCAAATAGCCAGATTTTTTTTAAAGACTAGAGTCTAGTAATATGTTGTATTTTTCTCTCTGAAACTACTTATGTCAGCTGTTAAATTGTGAGACATGGAATCAGATTCCATCATAACAATTTCCTAGTTTATTGCAAATTGTAGCCATGGCAGTTGGTTATAAATAAATGAAATTATGGATTCCTGATGTACAGAGATTGAATAGGGAATGTAATCAAATCATTCTAACTCATCAATACACCAGACTCATTTACAGAAGCTACAATGGCTCCTTGAGCTCATGTAAAAAAAAATTGCATGTTTATTTTGAGGATGAGGGAGAGAGGTAATCATTTGGTGAAAATATAATAATTTAATTAGATAAAAACATCTCAGGATACAAAAAAATTAAAAGAAACAGATTTTAAATATAATCTATATTTTTGTTCTAAGTGTCCAGAGACTGCTGAAAAGCAGAAGGAAACTAGAACAACCTTATTCCTTTTTATCAGAGATTTACAATTTTAAAAATTATAGAAACATACAGGGGTTTCCCATCAAGATTCTAATCTAAGATTTTTCTTTTCTCACTCCTTATTATTGTAGCAGGGGAGGGGAGTTTGTTGGTAGCATTACTATTTTGGGTATAGTCATCATCCAAATGCTCTGAAAATAAAACAAAGAAAAAACCAAACCAACTAACCTCTGGCCACTGAACTGATTCTCCTTCCTTAATAAAAATGTGCAGATTTAATAAATTATTTTTCAAAATCCCAGTTAAAAAACAAGTCTCACTGAAATGAAATTTGAAAATATATCATAAAAGCTAATAAAATGTCTCAAAATGGATATAGTGTTTTTACTTTGTCTAAGCGGAATAACTTTGATATAAATATAAATTTCACAGGTTCATTTTTTTTTCTTGTGTCACAATTAGAAATAATCTCATGTTTAAATGCTATTGGGATAAAACAGGTTTGAAGATATATCTTAACCTTAATGAAATTCTAACAATTCCAGTAGAATAATACCATTTTAATAATATGGCAGTCCTGTAATAATTCAGCAGGGCAAAGTGGAATTAGTTGCATTCTCAACAAACTTCTGGAGGACTGAAGTTCTTATTACCTGTCTCAAAACAGAAAAAAACCCAAGATTCTGGTTTAAAGTTTAAAGAATAGAAAGCAATTCAATAAAATATTTTTTTAAAAAAAATAAGAGGGAAGAACTAATAAATACCAAGGAGAGTTGAGATTGTTTTTCAGAAATAGCTGTTGATTGTGTTTATGTGGAACAAAGAATGCCACTTCAGTACTTTATATTCAAGAAAGCTCTTTGGATTTTCAACATGCTTTTTCACTTTGCAAGCTCCCATTTAGATGGTTAGATTTTGACAAGTGATCAATGCTGCATTGTATTCAACATATGGCAGCAAATTTGAATGGCAGCAAATTTCAAATACTTGAAGCTCAGTTAATAAAGGCAGCCTTATTTAATAATCTGAGGATAAACATTTGGTAATGGGTATTACATATTCTTAAAAAACAACCCTGCATGCTTCGTTCCATTAATTAATTTTTTATTTTAAAACAGCTCTTGGATAAATAAAAGTGTTCAGTGCAATCTTACAAAAACTACTTAATTTCTATTGCTCAGAAATATGGAATATTGTTATGAGAAGAACCTATACCAAAAATTAACATCATTTTCTTATCTTTTTTCACCTTGTGTTACTTTTAATTTTACTGAGAAAAAACTGAACACTTTATCATTGTAAATTTAATAACACCAGTATATATATATATGTGCAAGTTTTGGTGTATTCAGGTCTTTTGCTGTGTAAGATTGAGAATATCTTGGTGACGTTTCGACGAGGTCCCACTTGTCATCTTCAGGCTGGTGTCTTCGGCTTCGTGCTTGTGCGAGGAAAGTATGATCAAAACTGCTGTCTCTCTATAAATACTGGTGGGGAGGTGTGGGGTGCTGGCTTTGTTGCTGTGAGCGGGTTGGTTGCCTGTGTTGTTACATCTTGATTAATTGATGGAGTTGATGTTTGCAGATTAGTCAGCTGTTTTGTAACATCCTGTGTGAGTGAGGTCCTTGATGTGTGCCCATTAGTCTTTTGTGTTTTAACGACCTGGGTAATGGGCTGTGTGTTAACATCCTGAGTTCTAGTATTGTGATATCCTGAGTTTTTTTATGTAATGTCCTGAGCAGATGGCTATGATGCCACATCCTGGGCTTTGGTTTGGCTCCGAGTTTGAGGTTTTGCCATGTGTTCATGGCATGTGTCAGTTTGCTTTGTGTGTGGATCGGAAGGGGGTGCAGCAGCTGGTGATGCCACCGTAGTCTGGCTTCTGGATGGTGGTTGTATTTCGTCTATGGGATGGGTTGGGTTTGAATCTGGTGAGGATGATTGGTGGTGGTGTCATGTGTTATCTTGGGTCTGGTGTTAATCTTGGTGGCTGGGACTCTTCTGTTGACTAGGGCTAGTTTCCAGATAAAGCAGATCTTTTAGAAATATTTTAATTACAGAAAAAATGTGGTAAAATATTTTTCTGGGGAAGTTTCTCTATCACATACATCCCAACTAGAAGATCACTACCCCAGAGGTTCATTAGAACTGAAAGTCTGGAGTTTGAAGATCAAAAAGAGCAAATTATTCATTGAGATACTGTAAATCTTGCAAGGCAGTTCAGACAAACAACACACCCAGAAGGACTAGTTCTACTTTATTGAAAGGTTTCATTAATAAAATATTGCAAGCCTGAAAGTAAATTTCTTCCCCATCACCTTCATAGCTCAGAAAACTAGAGAAATACTTCTGAAATATTTGCCATGGCCTCGTTTCTGTGGGCTAACTGTCTCTTGTGTGTCTGTCTAAAAGCTGCAAGCTAAATTGCCTCTTATTTGACCATTGTCCTGGCTGTGGCTCTTCCCCCCGTCTCCCAAAGTAATTTTCATATAATTAGTTCTGTCTTATCAAGTTGCTTTGAATCCTAGTGACATAGATAGATTTTCTCTAAGACATCCCCATATACCACTATAGATATTGTCTGCTTATGGAGTTCCTAATTCCTTCCAAGAATAAGCACCCTGATGTGAGAAAAAATCTCCCTCTCTTCTGAATTTGAGATTGAATAATTTCTTAGAGAGATACAATTAATGAGCATGTACAAGAAGTCAGAAATGAGGGGTTCGACCAGAAGCATCGCAGTGAGACAGTCTGGAAATAGTGGGCTGTGATGAGCCTTGCGAAAATCCAGGCTGACAAACTGCTGTTGGGGGTCTTCAGACCGGATCCATCCTGTAGGGACAGGGAAGAAGGAGAGGCACCTCGGAAGGCCAAGAGAAACAGGCAAGATTCTCAGAGGTTGGGGGAAACTCTTCGGTCTTGCAGCGGGCGTGGCAGCCATTGCAGCCGTCACAAAGCTGGGGCAACCGGAATAAGTTTTGTGCAGGAGCGGTAATTTGGACAGAGTACTGATACTGAGTGAGTGATTGTCAACTCACATGTAATAAAGAAACTTTTTAAAAACTATAAAAAGAGACCCCGGTGAAGAAATAGCAGCTATTGGCGTTGGGGACAGTTAATGGAAAGAGACAAATGAAGCGGAAGCTAAAAAACCAAAGCCCAGAATGGAGCTTGTGAAGAAACCCAAAAGAAAACAGTTGTGTAAGAAGATTGGAAATAACTTTTAAAATGGTGAACTGTGAAGGAAGAGCAAAGGAAAGCTTAAAATAAAAAAGCCCTGTAAAGGAATTTTTTCAATAGGGTTTGGTCTTGGACTCTAACTTTGAATTTGGGAAATATATAATTAAGAAGAAGAAGATGGAAATTGGGGAATATTTGTAAGGTGAATTTAACAAACAAATTGGATATTTTGTTACTTTGTTGATTGGAATTGTGGATTGTAAAGAGACATCTACTGGCAGAAAAAAAGAACTACAGGAAATAATTTGCAAGCTGGGAAAATTTGCTTCAAAGAGACTGTAATTTACAAAAAGCAGTGAGAACTTTCAGGGAGGATTTGTTTTCTTTTTAAGCTGCTTGATCTCGACAACTAAAGAAGGTGGAACATAACAGAACTTTAAATTGAAGTAAAAACAACGTGGAAACAACAAAATGTCTCAGGAGATAATTGAAATGATTAAAATGGTACATGCATCATTCAAACTTGAATTAAAGGGAATGATTAAAAAGATGAGTGGACATTCAAGCCTGATGAACCAGAAACTGTGTTAGAACATACCCAAGTGAATAAAGAAACTATGAAGACGAAGCAAGAAATTAGCACTGAAGATAAAGATATTGATTATGAAAAATTAAATGATTACATTGGGAATAACAATGGAGAAAAGAGAAAGGTTAGGAGAAAATTAGTTAGAAAAAGGAAGCAAACAACTGGAAGAAAAGGAAAAGGGAAAAGCTTGGGGAAAAAATTGAAACTTAATGATTATACTGGGATCAAAAGTGGCAAAAATAGAGAGGATGGAAAGAAACAGGGAAGAAAAGAAAAGGGGAAGAGATTAGGCACAAAAAAATTAAATGATTACACTGGGATTAACAGTGGGGAAATAAAAAAGATAAAAAAAAGGAAAAGGGAAAAAATCAGATAGGAATCCAGGGCAAACTAGGAGAGTAAGAGATTCAAAAATTAAAGAAAAGAAACAGGAGAAAATAATATAATAATTACAAAAAGAAAAAAACAAAAATAAGAAAATGGGATGAAGGGATGAAGGGA